GACTCGGTGCAACGTTCGTTTGCACGCTCGCACCTGACTCACCTCATCGCGCCGCATACACACGCTCACGTACACGTATATATATATATATACACGCTATATACGTGCGCACACGTGTTTACGGTATTTGATCGTCGTTCACTTAGCACGGCCCAGTGACCCGTATAACCTAAGGTCTGCTTATGATCGAAGAGGTTTCCGTGTATCTTTCCCTTAACGGGACGGTACGAGACTCAGTGTTGCATCTTACGAGAATCGTTTCGGTAGTAATAGCCGAGTGGCGTATCGAATCTCTTAACGATATTCAAATCAATGCAAGTGACTTTTTTAGTGCGCGCGAACACGTGATTTTTTTCCACTTTACACCGACAACTCCGTAGTCGGTATTCAGAACCATGTTCACCGCAAAGTGAGAATTTAGCATTAAATGGATGGCAAAAGGTCTTGGTTCTTGTAATACTTTCCGCTGTGTGAATATTTATAATCTCACGAGTCTGTAGAATCTTTTGAAAGTTCATTTCGTATGGATACATTGGTACTATTCAAAATTCTACATTGTACTTTCATTCATGTCAAGCAATGTTGTCAGAGATGTTGCAATTATGATAAACCAGCAGCTTAGAAGAAATCACATGCAAGTATTTCCAAGAGGATCAAGGGAGAATCAGGAAGAAGGGGAGGAAAATACGATGATAACGAGATACTCATCGCATGTCTCGCTCTTTATGATCTTATGATTCTTACGGTTACGGAATGCAAGACGTCGGGAGTGAGCCTTCACTAATGTCGATGAATGCAACACTGGCACGATGATTTATACAGCGTTAATTTTGCAACGAGACGCACGTCGCTTTTACACGGCGGTTTAGTTTTTACTTCCCACAGACTTCGTCTGTGCTTCACGCGCTGCTCGATAACCGATATACTTTCGATCGATACGAAATGACATGACGACGGGCTCTCTTCGCTCTCGAGACGGAGTTTGAAAAATTCGTAATTGGGTTAAGCGTTACGCTTCGGCCGCGTTGCGCATGAAATATTCGTACGCCCGCTTTAAATACCGACGGCTTTTAATGCATATAATTCCCGGATGATGATATATTATAATCTTTTTATGGCCTGCGCGAAGTGTGTACATTAGTTAGCGCGTGATTTAACTTTCATTTCCCACGTTTGCCTCCCCGACCGATCGATAACTCAACGTTCGGAGTTGAGAAGTTGCAAAAACGACCGATACTTGTCTGACACATCGGCATCTAATAAAAAAAAAAAATACAAAGTTTCTGTGCCATAATTATTCTTTTCCGCAAATGATTTACTACGAATGGACAGTATCCTTTATCATGTAGTGATATCTCTTGTCCTTACCGTTTTAAAAATGAATTCTATATTCTTCTATCTTTTATTGAATAATATTTTTATTAGAAAACTGTTTATTAGAAAATAAGAGTATGGCTTGTATTTTATATGCTTTTTGCATTATCGTCGCGTGCGTTTAGCGAAATCCAACGTTCGAGCGTTTAAGTGGACGAGACATTGCACGAGACATAAATACCATTCTCTAATCTGTACAATGAACATCCGCGTATCCGTTCTTCGCATATTTACCTAGAAATCGCAACGGTGTGCGTGATTCTCGGGCGCGATCTATGCGTGAGATAAATCGTACGTGATCAAAGGCGATACGCGAAATTCGCTGTCCGCTCCTACATTACCATTTCACAGACAAGCGGTTGCACACTCGAAGGATCCGCGTGTTGTACAGAGTTGTATGCACGACATTCGATCGGCGGCTCACCTAACGCGGCCCAGTGACCTAAATAAGCCGTGGTTTGCTTATGATCGAAGCGGTTTCCGTTTCTCCTCGGGTCCAATCATGCTCCTTCAAGAGGTCCACCTTCTTTGCAGAGGCGGAGTCCCCTTCCTCTTCGCTTCTGATACTCGTGTGTATATAGCTCTTGTCTTATGTCTACAAATATCAGCGAACATTCTGATGCGTTTGTCTTCATTTCATCTCGGACGTAATCTTTCATGCGATGTACTTTTAAATAATTTAAATAATATACATCTTAATAATGTACAATAGAGGAGGTTGTGTCTTGGGACATGTTGTATCTTGGGACACACTAATCATTTTTTTAACAACAAGATTTTTAATCCTCAACTACTGTTAGTAGTATGAAACTATATCTAAGTTTTAAAGAGTTCTATTTGAAATATAAAATGCAAATAAATATACGCGATTAATACAGAATGGCTTCAAATTTTCTTATCTACAATTTAGACCCTCAGTACCAATTGTATAGATTGTAGAATAGTTAAGAAAATTTTTGCTTTGATCCAAATGATTTGTTGCTTTAATTGAGAATTAATGATGACTGCTCAATTATGTATATAAATTTTCTGAATATATCTGAGGACTGCCAACATTAAAAATCTCATTATTGTCAAAAACAAAATTAATGTGTTCCCAGATACAAGTCTTTCGGTATCACAATTAAATCTTTCTTATCGTTTGTACTCTTCTCTACGAGAAGCATTCTGAAACTGCGAAAATCAGCGACTTGAGTAAAAATTCACACGATTTATTTTCTTGATAAAAACAAATTATAAGTAATTTTTGAACAATGTTTGAAATTGATAATGTTCTTGTTATACAAAATTTTGTGTATTTTAAACTTATAATTTTAGACGCAATATCATGAAAACTCTTTTTTCTTCTTTTCTCTTTCTTTTCCTCTCAACATTTTCCCTTGCTTGTCTCATCCACTTTCCTTCCTGGCACATTCTCTTCCGGCTGCTGCTGTTAATTATCCTCGCATATTTTCCACTCGTTGATGCGTGGTTGTGGGACGATTAGTCATCTATCACGCGCAACGCACGTAGAAGCGATCTAATTATCAGCAAGATCTTCGATGTGCGCGTCGTCGTTGTAAATTCCCTCCTAAGAAACATGCTTTGGTTCTCGACGGCATGTGTGTGACAGGTGAAATGATCGCGACAGATACAAAACCATAATGGAGGGTGACATCGAGCCATCAGAGATCGCATTATAAGTCAGATTATGCAGATGAGACTAATCTTTGATTAGGAAAAAGAAAGAAGAAATCGGTAAATTGATCGATAAATCGATTCTATCTTATTCCTCGATTGCAATTTTTTATTGAATCGATTTTTTATTTTGTATAGAAAGTAACAATAAGTAAGATAATTAGAATGTCTCGATTTAGATCTAGTTTCAGGATCTACGTTGCTGCAAATTACAGTTGTCGCTTTTGAGAACTTGCTTTATATAAGTTTCTTGTTTTTTTTCTTCAATTTTTTCTGTTCACGCGAATGTCTAATTGAGATACATGTACGTAATATATTTTGACGTTTTGGAGATATTAGGAGTTACATTTTACAATCTTTTTCATTATACTGTCCAACGGCAGAAATGTATACCGCTAAAATTATCGACGATTAATGCTTTGACCAGAGCGAGCATTAAGTCATCATAAGTCATAAGTAATAATTCCCCGAGCGATACGTCCATCGTTTGTTTGAGAGTTCTGGAGCATGACGGCAAATGTGGCAATACCAAGCGAGAGCACGCGTTCGACATGGACCGATCATTATCAAAGGATCATTTCTGTCGTTTGATCGTTCAGTTATGTCATAATGAAGACTACGATTGCATAACAAAGAATATCGCGAACATTGGTAGAGATCTTCTTGCAGCGAGGAATTACATAAGACGTGACTAATCGTGGTGAGTCGTCGATTTGTGTGTGTATTGTCTTGTTGTACAATACAACATCTATTGTACGAATTTATGATCGAAATGGAGCAACATATTCTTGACAATATATCTACGTATCCCGTGTGTAATATTACTGAGTGATATTGCCATAAATAATTCCCACGTGACTGCGAAGTTAGAGACAGCCATGTCAGAGAGTTTTAATTATCCAGCGAATTTGGATGCGCAGCACTCATTGTCTAGCTTTATTAAACACCGACATTTTTACAATATCAGCTGAAGCTATCCGTATTGTTTTTCGAGAATGAACTTGCATTTTAACGACTGTTCGGTGCAAATCCGCTTATTGTTAGGAGATTTTTCTATCCGATTTTAGCATTAACAATGCTAGGCATTGTATATTCGATGTTAATAATACTATGTACGTACACATGTAGCTATTAGTACTCCGCAACTGACGCTTAAATCTATAACATAGTCACTTGTGTCTATATGACCCATTTAATTTACGTTAATTAAAAGGCATTAACTAATTTTATGGAATTAAAATGATATAAAAAAGAATACTAAGTTTATTTTAATAAGAATAATCCAAATTTTTGCAGATGTAACATAGAGAAAATTGAATTTTTTGACATTTTTAAAAGATTTATAACTGATAATAAATTTATTATTTAGGTTTAATAGATCTATAAAGCTATGGACGATTACATAGAAATTTCCAAATATATTTTATGCCTCCTAAATATCAATCTTGAAGGAAAAGTTGCGGATTTGAGAGAGAGTACAAGATAATTGTTGTACGTCTGGTGTAAATTATGTCTTCGTTCCTTTTAAGACCGGTTACGTTTTAAAACATCATTTTACATATATGGTCTTGCCTGCGACTTATTCGATAACTCATTAAGAAGAAACACTGAAGAGATTGTATTTGAAAGATAGAGTAACAATAATTAACAATAACGTTTCACTACTTTATCACTTTTATTTCCGAAGTTAATATCAAAATGACAAACATGAAGTAAAAGAGACTTTTAAATGACCTAAATATTTGAAATATATATTTTTACGTTCTGAAAAGTTTATTAAAATTAATTTTTATCGATAATTTATATATAGAATATGTAATTTGTCTCTCTAACTCAATTAAAAAACTTTCTATTAAATTTCTTATGATTGGTAATCTTTAATTGCTTATATCAATAACGTTTTACGAACTAAAATTAATATAATTGTGTTCGATTTTTTTAAATTGCAGGTACTATCGTGGCTTTGCAAGAAAGGCGAAGATATTCTGTCGAAGCACGCACAGCATATAGCGACGAACTTGACGTCGGCACGTCTTCACGAGCGGGAATTCGAGAAGTTTTACTTCACGTCGATGGTAAGTAACATTGATTGTCCCATAGCAGTTAATGGAATCGAAAGGAGAGCCCCAAGAGGAATCGAGTTGCTCTCCTAAGAGAAGATTTCACTTTTTTCGCGACCCATTGAGCCGCCCGTCACGCTTCGATGCGAAAGAAATTCCGTCGCGGAGGACTCGAAAGGTGGCTGCAATAAGTGCGAGATAATAAAAGATTCCTTTGTGACAGGCGCGGACTGTTGCAAAGACCCCTGCCAAGTGTGCACACTTCCCCCTTTTTTTTATTTATCTGCCAACGAAATGAAGAAATAACACGGAAGGAGTCGTGACGACGCCGAAAAAGAGGAAGGCGAAAATGATTATTCCTTTTGCACCTGTAGACTTAATATGGTCAGAAAGCACGATCTTGTAAAGTGCAGAATAGAGAACGGTGCAAAACGATGGAGATATTCACTTTAGTTATGCATTCATTCCCGCAGAATGTTTGTGCAAATTAAAATCATAGGATTAAGGATAAGATCCGTTTGAACAGATTTATTTCTAGCCGGTTATTTCGTGAAAATCAAGTATCTATATTTTTTGAGATAGCTCTTTATGTGATATGTCCAGTTATTCATTAATTATCATTATTATTAATTATCATTGCGCCACACAGATCGTAGGATTTCTAGCAATTTATCAAAACGCAAACGAAAATACGCATATAAATTTTATATTGTTTTGTTATTTAGAATATTGAAGTAATATAAAAGACTTTGTTATATTATTTCTTTATGTTTGTACTTGACATTTTCTAAAATAGAAGAATAATTTTACAAATATATATTTTTTGAACTGATTATTTTTAAACATTAAATCAGTTTTTCATTTATTCCAAATTATTATCATGCATTACCCACAATGTGCAACAGATCACTATATTATCTACTTGACTACAATCTAACGTTTTCTACTCAGTCGATAACAGATTTCTCTTTATATTTCTTTATTATATATCTAATACTAACGTATATTTACTTATTTATAAATATTTATTTTTTTATATTTTGAAATAATTTATCAATTATATAAAATAGCCTGAGACTTTTAATCAACAGTTACCAATAAATCGTTTTAAATCGTTAGAGCTCTCTCTATGATCGGTAAGTCGATCGGCTAATCTCGTGGCGCCGCCTGCTGGGGTTTCCTTTGAATGTTTCACTAACCGACAAATCTTCATAACCGACTAAGCAAGTGAGAAAATTAAAATAGCAGGAGGAAAGGCAAGTGCATGTAATAGCGATAATTATTTTTTTTTTTGACATCTGTTGCCTAGTTAATCTCGCCGATATGTAATGAGCTAGTTTGATCGTGGTCATTAATTTAAAGTAGCGGAGGCTGCTTTTCTAAATAAGTTCCGTAATTAAAGTCGTACACTTACTACTTGGTAAGATAAATGATGGAGAGTCGATTAACATTCTATACAGCGAGTGAAACTTGAATTGAACTCCACTACTAAGTACATACCAATGTCTTTTCTTATCAATTAATGTCGCGGTAGTATATTCACGGATTCTTACTTCCGTTCTTTGATAATGAATGTTGATAGGATTTATTGCGGATTTCTCAAAATTTTTCCACAGTTATCGATATTGTGAGTATAGTTTCTCAAATATTTTTTAATTTTATATCAGAAGATCGTAAATTAAATTGATAAATTCTTTTCTCTCTCTCTCTGTTTACAAAATTTTTTTATATTTATTTTACTCGTAAAAATTAAAAATAATTAACTTCTTAATTTTATTATAATTGTAATATTGTTTAGAGATAACTTAAAGTGAAAGTACATGTTTGAGACGTAGAGAATAATCGCATGTAAATGTGGAAATATTAAAAAAAAAAAAAGATATAAAAAAAAGACGTGACCAGACAGCACAAGTATTCTCATATACATGAGCTTAATTAAACGCGATTACATGAAATTCGGAATAGCAATCGAACGAATCGAATAATTATAAATGTTACGCTATCAGCCTTATACCACGAGTCACACAACTTGCGATAATAATACGTTGGTCCTCGGTCGGTCCATGTCGTAGAAAATTTATTGCGAAAGAAATCGGCGTTCCACGGGCGTTTTTCCTTTTTTGCGAAAGATTAAACTTTCTCTCGGCGGTAATGCTGAAGTATTACGCGTAGTACAGACAGTTTCAGGGCGCAATAAAGGCCCATCGATGATCCGACAGACAGTTGTTACTTAATTAATCAGTCTCACAGCGAAACGTCGGGCGAACGATCAACGAGATATAAAAGCCGGTCGGCCGACAGTGCAACGGTCGGTCGTGCGTGGACGTTAATTAATCACGGTGCACCCACTTCAATTATCCGTTTCATGCAGGATGCGCTCGAGCGCGTGGGTCATTATCCAAAAACGTACCCATCTCTTGTATTTTCTCCCTTTTTTTTTCCTTTCTTTCTTTTACCTCTTACGCGGCCCAATAACCCCCATTGCTACCCACACGTTGTCATAATTGTCACCGATTATTGCCGCGATGGTCGAAAAGTGCATTATTTGGGTCATCTTGACGGAACTGGAACGGAGTTATTGGCGATTTATTATTGAATGATTCGCAGAAGCCGCCGTAAATTTTATAATAGTGATGAAAACGTGCGGCCATCTAATTATTTGGAAAAGACTTCTTGTCGCTGTATGTGTCTGGGAATTAATATTTGATACGACCAATTTTATATATCGTTACGAGAGACATTTATCAAGATACTCGAGACATATTTCATGATAGCGACCGCCTCAGTTTTTTTTTACGAATATTTTCTATGAGTATTATGTAAATATTGGCGACTGCAGAGTATTGTATAAATATAGGCGAGCGTATAATGCAGTTGCTGATAAGAATGCAAAAATTATCGCAGACCTTGAACGAAGTAAGTGACGAAAACCAGTTAGAGCTGCGATCAAAGTACAGAACGTTGTTAACACGATGGTGGAACAGGATAATGTCGAAGGACTGGCAAGGAGGAGTACTCGTAACAATGTAGTCGTTCTCGTAACCCAATTACATGGGGCACCGCTGACGGAAAAGGCGAGGAAGTCATGCCAGGAATAAGAACGAAGTATTATGTCGGCACCTATAATGGCGACAATCGCAACTCGTGAAATTATGGTCGATTCTGCTTCTAAGAAAGAAATTCCATCGAGTTTAGAAACCGCCGTCGCGCCATTACTTCGCGAATCGCAGCATGATTGTTGCGAACGTATCTGAACACTCGGCATCGAGTGTAACGTACTCTGAGGAATTTGGTAACGATCGATCGATCGTGAAAGTAGCAACAGTCGTGTGACCGAAATGCAGCTCAGTGCATACGAAAACGGAATCTTGCTCGCGACACTAAGTATTCGATTAATCCTTTTTTTTTTACCGATAATTAATACTCAAAAAACAATGTCCAAAATACGAACAAAGATGTCCTGAAGATGTTCATCAAGATATTATCTTTCAGATATTATATCATATTATTATAATTTAAGGAATTATATTTCTTCATTAAAATTAACATGTCTTAATAAATTTAACATTATAACATATTAAATTAATACATTTTATCCATTTATCATAGCATTTTAAAAAACATTATTCTTATGTTATTTGTTCACTCACTTATGAATTATATTATTTCACTATTAAGAAATATTGAATATCAATTCAACACAAAATATTAATAAATATTTATAAATATTAATCACATTATGTTAAACTAACACTCGGATATGTTAAAAATTCAACACAAATTTTAACAAAGACTTGAGTGGACTAATTCTAACACAAATACAAAATGTTTTTTTTTTTACTGTATTTTACTTAACTTTACAGGATGCAATTTTGTAATAGTATAATATCTAGTTAATCAATCATGCTGTTTATTTTCTAAAATAATTAAATTCAACAATGTGTTTTAATAATTTGATAACGTTAATGCAAATCATCTGTCGTTTTATATTTACTTCAATATAAATAATTACATTAATATCTACGTGTGAGAGAGGAACGACCACACGTTACATCCGGTCAACGTGCTCATCGATACCACCAGTGTTAAGCGCGTGTCACGAATCGCGATCGGGAAACCGTTTCAAAATCCAATTGCAAAAGCGCAAATCGGCACAAGGCAGTTATGCTCGTTAATTCACCGTACTTGATGCGCAACTTTCCATCGTAATCGTCACGCGATAATCAAGACGACGATGTGCTGACCGCTATCTGATATACCGCATAGACGGAACATCCTCTTCGCAATATTTTACTTTGAGTGCTTATACAAAAATCCAGACCGTAATTACCGAGCTTCTTAATTTAGAGTTGACCTCGGTTGGGACCTTAACTTCAAGTCAAGATGATTCTGCATTTCAGATGGTTAAATAAGTTTAAAAATTAAATCTTAGATTAACGGTTTTTTAAATTAAAAAAATAAACAAGTTTGGTTGTAGGAAATTAGAAAATTATAGATACTGTTAATCGAGGCTCTAATAGAACCTTCGTTCATCATAATCTGCATGATGCAATAATTTAATGTCGCATTTAATGATGCAAAATATATATGTCGCATTTTTAACTAAATATAAAATTTTATTATTATTTTATTCAGTTTTTCAAATTAATATTTTTAATAATTTCTTATTCTTGATTTTGGATTCCACTATGGAACCCTATTTTTAGCTGAAATAAGATCAAAGCTTTTTCGTACTCGGTTCAATTACTAACGCTTACTCAGTATCAATTCAATCGAGTGTGTTTATTATGTGGTAAGTAGCAATTACGGGAGCGTACGGGTTGGTCCTTCAATTTTAGGGTGCCTATCGCGCGGAACTGCCTACCACGCCGCGTGAAAGCGTGTAATCGCCTAATCGTGCTCGACCCCACGCGTAACACCCACTTAATGCACGATAGATTTATCTCGAACAAAAAGAAGACTGTCCTCATCTGAACGCAACATCTGTTGCACGATTAACACCCTATCGTTTAATC